ACTCTCTCTCTCCTCCTCTCTCTCTCTCTCTCCTCCTCTCTCTCTCTCTCTCTTTGCCCGGCTACTTACGCAAACATCATTCGTAGATTTCTAGGCAGAGCAAAGAAAGTATCCCGGCGGGCTCCTCGAGTTTACGGTCGAATTAAGGATTTACGCGGGGTAATTCAACGGTTGGGGCAAATCTTGCGCGAGTGTCGGATGAAAAGGAATAGGGAGAGAGGAGGGGGGGGGCGGGCTCTCTTGCGTCAGGGGCAATTATCGAAGTCGGGGGTCAGTTTTTTCCGGTTTATAAAATTTTTCGGGACGCCAAAGTTCGCGACACGGTTCGTTAAAATTCGTTGGAACGATTATGAAAATTCCCATTCGGTCTAGGAAGTTCGACAATCGGTTTATTTTCGAAAAACTAGTTCCCCTTTGCCGGAAGAGTCTGCGAGTTGATTATAAACGGATTATAAAGATCTGATAAATTGGAAAGTTTCAAGAAAGTCCAATTCTTCGAGTTTCTTTTCGTCAAATTTCTGTTAAGAAAGCTAAAAATCTTATCTTTAGCTAGGAGATAAGATTTAAATTTATCCTTCGACCTTACGTTTTCGGCTTTTTCCAAATATTCTTCTTGCATAAAGTTTAGATGAAAATCTTTCGGTTACTCGAAACATACGATCGAGAAGATAATATTGGAAAACTTGAATAATATTTTCTCATCGTGGTAGAAATAAATATACATTTTTCTTAACGAAAAAAAGAGTATCTATTAATCAAAGAAGAAACCGAAGAACTTTGTTCCCCGAAATTAGACGCGTGAATTTCATTACATTTTACATATATATATATATATTGAATCCGTTATACGTCAAATGTGCGTGCAAATTAGATCAATGGATCAGTTTGAGAAGCTCGTCGAAATTAATATCCGTTCTGTTAGTTACCAGAGAGACACGATACCGGCGGCTTACGATTCATGATCCGTATCCGTACAGTCGCAGCCACAAGTGCGGATTAAATTAACGTACACCGGCTGGATAACGGAGAGCCGTGACCTGCGGTTTTGCGATACGATTTCCAGTTCTTCCTCGATTAAGAAAAAATAGACGCGAATCCCCGATTTTCTGCTTAAAAAAAGCTCCTCTCGTGTGGAGCTCTCGTAATTGTAAAAAAAAAAAAAAAAAAAAAACGGGGTTAACGATTATAAAAATAACTCCCCTACGTGCAAATTGCACGTTCCTTTCGAACGGGTTATCCTCGATATCGTTGTATCGCTTTTATATCGTTTCGTTGTGAAATTTCGCCGATCGATCGACACGAGCAAAGTAGTCGAGCTTTTCAAAGATTCAAAAAAATAACGTGTATTCAAAAATACACGCAGATATATATACTGTACCCCGTTTCTCGAAATGATTATCATTATCGACTCGTCTGCGAAAATCGGCACGTAACGCTCCTCCCTTATCCCCTATCTCGCGTTACAATACAATCGTGTTCAGCAATACGCTTCCACGGTATTTACGTATCTTCAGTTACGGTTTAGCAGCACGCAGCATGTGTAACGTCATACCTTCGAACGCAGGTTTCGTACCGCTGATTAGACTGGAGGCGTATAAGTGTATACAGGCGGGTATATATGCGAATCGAGCTGCGAATTCATCGTTGCGAGGAACGAACCTGACGTCCATTTCCTGCCCGTGTGCACCGATAATGAAACAAACCCTCCCCGAGAAACAACCGTCGGCGATAAACCAAGAGCAGCGTGGAATCAACGCAGAATGGGGAACAAATGGGGGGAGGGGGGGGGGGAGAATTTTCGTTTTCGCACGCGAGAGGAGGGTGGACGAGAAACTCGACGAGGTTTTTTTCCCCTCCACGGCATCAGCAATTCCCGTGGAACGAGATGAAAAAAATGGCGCGCGAATTCGCATAACAAGGCAGACAACCGCGCAATTAAAATTACGTTCGCGCGACCAAAGAAAGCGAAACGCCAACCAACGAAAAAAAAGAAAAAAGAGCCGAAACGAGAATTTCGTGTCCCATCCTCCCCTCCCCCTCCACGGTCACTTGGGAGCGCGCGTTGAAAAATTTCTTCTTTGCGGAAACCTCCCCGAGAACGTGTAACACGCCGCGTCGCCACCCTTCTGCCTTTTTTTTTTTTTCTAGCACACACGCGCAAACCACGCATTTTCCAAACACGAGTCGTGTGCATACACGTGCACGCACAAAGAGTAATACACGTAGGAAGAGAAAGAGAGAAGAAGAGTGGATCGGTGTTGGTCGGTTCTCGACCGAGCGGCAGAGAGGCAGCCAAGCAACCAGCCAGCCGGCTGGCCGACCAACCAACCATTCCACATTCCATTCGACGGTTCTCTCTTTCCCTCCCCCGGCACGTAATGAAGTCAGTCCCGGCGTTCTAAGCCCCGGTAATATCGTGTGGCAGGGCCCTCCCCGAGATAATATTAGTGATGTATGCTAACGGGCTTTTCGGTACCGGGCTACGTCGTTTTTACGTCCCTTTCGTGTCCTCCTAAATGATTTACCGCGAGAAAGAGAGCGGGCACGAAGGTCACTATCTCTCCAACCTACCCACCCCCCTTTCCACCCCCTTCCGGTTAAAAGAAAAAACTTGGCCCGCCTTTTTAATCCCCTCGCCCCATGTGTACCGGTGGCGAAAACTGTTCCCTTCTTTCTTCCTTCCTTCTTTCCCTCCGCTCCTCCTTTTTTATCCCTCTTTTCGCGCGCGAGACCACCGAGAATTCCACGAGTAAACCACCACCAAGGGGACTTCGTTAACCTTCAGCCACCGAGGGTGTCTGCGAGGTGGCCTTTTACCGGCGAGGGCCAACCGGACTACGAGGAATGTTTGAAAGTTGGCGATTTATACGGGTTGCGGGCCATATTGTTCCGCGAAACGTTGGGGCTGGTTGGTATTTAGAACGGCCGACAGAGGCGAAACTCGTAATATTAATTAATGAAAGGGTATTTACGCGGCATTTACGACACATTGTTCCCGCGACGAGTGGCCCCCGACGAAATCGTGGTAATTAATGAAAAGTGCATTATGAATCGGATTTACGTTAGACACGCCGTGTGTTAATTCTTCGACGAAAACGGTTGACAATTTTTCGAGAGAAAAATGGGAAGAAATCTTCGAAGGAAGGGAGGATCGACAAAGTGTGTACCTTGGCGATGAATTCTGAACACGGGTCGGGTAAACAGTGATGCTTGAGTTGAAACTTTAACTCTACTTTCTGTGGAGCCAAGGGATTTTTCCAACTTGGTGGAAAAATTACGAGTATTACGTTTCACGTGGCGTCAAAGCGTAGTCGCCACGATTTTTATTATTGTGCACCCAGGTTGTTCCTCAAAATTCAATTTTTCGTGTTTGCAGGGTTCCGTGTTGAAGAATCTACTTCAACGGTGGTTTAATGCGATTTAACACGTTCCACGAAATCACGTACACAACCAGTGAGGGAAGTTTCCGTCACGTACCGATAAATTCGTTAAAACAAAGATTTGGAATTTCTAAGCCAATTGTTGGCTACGAGTTAAACATTTTTTCGAATCGATCGAACGACTTTTTCCCAACTTCGAATCACGCGAGTTTCACGCCTGCTTAGATACTTTAAACACGTGCTACAATTGAATTTCACTTGCAAAATTAAAAATTTTAAATCAACTGTTTTAGAGCGGAATTTAATTTTTCGCACGGTTAATTATACCATTATCTATATTAATACCATTTATATACTGTTTTTTATTATTATGATAGTAACCTTATTTTATTCTTATTATACGATTCGTTGCATTAGATTGTTGTATAATAAATGGTCTTTTCGAGGCCTCGTTTCAGTCATTATCAATCATAAAATACATTCAACGATTCTCTTTTATATAACTTTGATAATAGTTCTTTGAGCGACTACTTCTTACTTTTTTTAAAAAATGCAAATGCCAGACCATTTTTCTTTGCGAATAAACTTGAAACCAGAAATAACAGAATAAAGAAAACGATGCATCTTTACGTGATTGAAATAAAAATAACAATGCATCATCTTATTTAAATTTTAACATTTAATTATAATTATAATTTAATAATAAATGTTTTTTATTATACAACGATCTAACAAATCAATTGTATATACGAAATTGTAATACGTTTTAAAATATGAACGATAAACATAAGAGACGAATTCTAAGAAATTCTCCTCCTAAATATCTCGCTACACACCTGGCGAAAATTCTCAGAATTTTATGTACAAAAAACGTTGAGCCTCACAATAATAACATACAGTTCAATACGTTGAACTTATCGCCGAACGAATCGCGATATACGTTTTATCCGTGTAAACACACAGGATCATTTCTTCGAAAATAACTTAACCGTTATCTGAGCTAACACGAATCCTATCTCTACGTACACGCGGCCGATAAAGTGGTATGAAAAACCATCATGGAGGATTCCTACCTTTATGATGCCTGAGGTGAGAGCGTCCGCAGCAAGGTTGCTCGTAGTACGCGTGGCCGGGATGCGCACCGGCAGGCCGACTTGCATGGCTCGATCCCAGGAACAGTCCCAAGACAGCTGCTAGAACAGCTGCTCTGACCAGCACCAACATGGCATCCGGTAATCTTCGTCGTTCCATCCTTGGACACGATTCACGGTAAAGGGCACACGCAAACTCGGCACGGATCGAACGAGGTAACGCTAATCAACCAGAAACATTACACCAAAACGCGCACGTGTATCGGTTGAAAATTCTCGTGGATCGCGGGAGAGAAGCAAACAAGGTCAATGTCGATTGAAAATGTACGATTCGACCTGGCCTTGGCTAACAGCACGCCATATTCTGTGTTCACGGTGTGGTTGTTGCCCTTTGCCGTTGGCAACGCGCTGACGTTCACCGATGCTACGAGTCTCGTTTTCACTATCCGTCTCACTCTCACGCACGCCAGATATAACGCGTCCGACAAGGTAGAATCTCGACCGCGTGCTGTGCTTCCTTCTCTCTCTCCCTCTCTCTCTCCCTTTCTCTCTTCCACCACACGGTCGTTTCGCCGGTTGTTCTCGTCCACTAGCTTCACCACTCTGCCTTTCGAGGACAAAGGAATTCTTCCTGTGCTTCTCTTTTCTTCAAAAAGAATAAAAAGGCGCTCGTGTCCTTATAGTCCTCCCAGTCGCAGGTAGAGGGCCTTCAGATAGGCTCGTTCGGTAAGCACCGGATATGGCTGACAATGTCGTTAAATATAATTGCACGATCCTTCACTTTCGCCTTTTTATATTTTCTGTTTTTCCCTCTTCACTTTTGTGACACATACGAGCGTGATCGCGTCATAAAGAAAGGAATAACTTCTATAAAGGTCGCGGAATAAAAACGGAACACAACTGAGTCGACGTTCAAGGCTTTTATCTATGGCAAACGTTTAAAAATTCAACAATCCCTCTATGTCACTGACGTCCATGTTACACTTTCGTTCGCGCCATATTACGTCACCGTTGGAGTATACAATCGTGGCGATCGTTGAACCGTCGACGAGAATATAAGAACGAAATACATGTACGCGAGTTACGAAGAAACAACCGAGGAAATCGTGGGCAACTAAATATAAAGAGCACGTCGCGCGACGTCACATCTGTTGCTCGGCCCACGATCGAGTTGCGAGATTTTATTCCACATTCAAGGCAATTTTTCGTTAATCCCGTGACACCACGATTGTCTAGACGAGTGTCACAACATCGTTTCGTATCCACTGTTGAGACAAGACAGAACACGCGGTTCACAACTTTCTTATAAAACGAGGCGTCACGAACAACACGAACTGCATAAACCTCCCCCTATGGAGGCCGCGGCACGACTGTACTCTCGTATAAGAGTTGCCGCGTTCACAGGCGTCGGCAGCGCTCGGCAAACTTCGGCAATGTTCGGCTGCTCGTGCACCGCGACTCTATGATACACGCCAGTTTCTTCCAATCGGAGTCACTCATCGTTTACTGGTTTGAACGAATGTCCGAAGAAGCGTCACCCCTGATATTTCTCTTAACCCTCACCCTAGGGGTTCTTTTTATAGCTCATATGAAAAATTTTCTACGTGGAGTCAATATGGACAATGAAACGACTGTTCGAAGTTAGACTCTCTGGAGTAGCGATTTTCACTGTGAAGATTTGAATTATAAAGTGTTCCCTAGTTGCCACGAAACCTTGGTTATTTGTCTTCTGTCGCAGATTTTCTCTGTGTTAAAGATTCTAAATCCTTGACATTCGTATTTTTAATTATTATTTTTTTTTTTTTTTGTCATTCGAGTAATTCGTTCAAACGCTGAAATACATTTGCTTACGATTAATGGTCGGTATGTAAAGACGATCGTAATCTATATCGATCGTGTTTAATAGTGTAACATGACGCAAACGCTATTACAAAGTTATTTTTATTTCTATGAAATTTAAATATTTATATAAGTTTCGCTATAACAACGAAATTTATTCGTGCTAAAGTACCTTAAAGTTTAAAGTTTAGACTGTTGACATACAATTGGAAATCACCTTATAGATAAACGAAAACTTCTAGCGAGTAAAGTTTTAGGGGAATAATTAAAACTCGCTTAATTATTGACAGCATTTACAATTAAATATCTAAAATATACACAGTATATTCTTAGACATAGTAGTTTTCTAAAGTTAAATAAAATGATGGTAACGTTAAGATTCAGTTAAATAGAACGTTTCCGTGTAAATTAACAGTCGGTGTGTTTCTTCGAATCGAAGAGTTTCACGGTGATTTAATAGAATCATCTTGCGCCTATTATTATTCAAATCATCCTAAATTGACTGAATATTAAATAAAGAAGAGGAAGAAGTAAAGAGAATATTTTAATTTTACTGTATAATATATTTCGTTAGTAGCAGTGAAAAAGCATTAAGAAATGATACAAATAAATTCATGTGGATTTCATTATTTTTCTTTATTTACTAAATAATGAAATTTTGAAAGTGGAGCATAGACTGTGTAAAAGCAAGAAGAGATAATCTTGATGGTAACGAAGGAAAAGGTTTTGAATAATGCTGCTTTGTGGTTTTCTTGAATTCTCTTGTTAAATTTCTCTAAGAAGAAAAATCTTTTGATCCAAACTTGTTTATAAAACACTAATATGGATCAATTTTTTAATCAACACAATAAAGCTTATAAAAATTGCATCGGATATGCAATCGGATTGAAAACATTTTCTATAGCTCAAAATCAAGACAAAAATCAAGAATAATGAAATCGAATAGAACAGAATCGTATTCTCCATGAAGTATATTTGAACTCCACTCTTTTTCAAGCAATATCTTAAACAAACAATTTTTATTCTTATACACGTTTGACTTATCTTGACATCCCGCTGATTATCTATGATTGTCATACAGTCTAAAAGAGTATTTCAACCTATGGATCGCAAATATTAGGTCACGATAAATTTTTAATGTATCGAGCAAAGATAGCCGAATCGTCGGAAATACACTCGTATCTCGTTCAAATATACATAATTTTATTAATACAATAATTTCATAAAATCAAATTTTTATTCATCGGTAACAATTATAAACAAATAGCAGAAAAATTGAACAATGTTTTATAAAAAAAAATATTGATTTCGCAATCCTCGAAACTTTGAATCAATTTTTATACCACGAACCCGCTTGAAAACCTTACGAATCGAGGCCTGGCTCGAGTTTAACGAAATCAATCGTATCGAAACACGTGGTAACGTATTCGCTAGAGGGTCGACAGCGAAACTCAAAGCCCTTCAAAAAGCTTGGTACGCCATCAACGACGCCGTCATCATCGACGTATAGCCCCAAGGAGATCTCTCGGATCGGTGCGCGCGTTCATCCGTCACGAACGAAGAAGTAGCGGATTGTATGAATAAGTCGATATGCTAATGTAAAAACCCTCGAAGTTAACTGAGCCAAGGCTGAGCTGAAAAGAGGGGAAAGAAAGTTGCAAGGCGTATACCTGCGAAAGCGTAGAATCCACCCGCGAAACAGGAGACAATTTCGTATCATCCAACGGTGCCGCCATTACCACCATACTCGATACAAGACCGCTCCCTTTGTTGTTTCCACGGAGGAGACTCCCTGGCGAGGGAAGTCGTAAGAATTTTAGAACAAAGGAAAGAGAGCCGAGTCCTTGCCTTTTCCTAATTCATCTTCCCTCTTGCCCTTCCCTCGCCACCCTCCTGTCTTTTCTAGCCACGAACGAGGAGTCCCGCACCACGACCAACAAATCTGCCCATCCGCAGTCCCATTTCATTGAAATAGTTTAGAATTGCATGAGCCACCTCCCTCTTGTCCCTTTATCGTTTCTTACCGGGCCAACGAATCTCACCCCTTGACTACGTGTGACTGCTCTAAGCGGCGAACCTTTTCGAAAGAACCGGCAAATCGTTGGAAAAACCATAAATTGTTCGTATATCACGCGAATTGGTTAGCATTTGAAGTATAAATCCACACGACACAACCAGAATCTTGGAAGAATCGTGACATCGTGGGTCAAGAAATCGTATCCAGAAGGAAATGAAAAATTTGTCAGATTCAAAGGATTTAATTTAATTTATTAACCGAAGCAAGAGTTTGGGCATTTTTATTCAGAGTACATTTTCAAACATTTCTTAATTTTTCATTGTATCGTCGATCTTTCCCTTTTAATCTGAATAAATTTATTTTATTTATATTTGTTTGAAATATTTTAAACACCGACAAAATTCGTTCGAAATTTCAACATTTCAAATTTCAGGTTACAAATAAAATGACGAGCATTGTGTACAGCGAAGAATACGTGCGTATATAATAGGTCTTGTCGTGTTTACATGAGTGGCATATCCGAGAGGAGAGGCATTCTAAGTTGGGAACTTCTTAGAAATGGTCGAATACGAAAGAAGGTATTATTATTGTCGGCTGTTTCGCGGCATTCATTGCTGGACAGTGTTTCGTGATCGTATGACGGGGAGAGGCCTTCGTGAATTTCCTGGCGCCTGGTTAAATTTCGCCAAGTTCCCATAGAAGTTCTGACTTATGGAACGGTCTGAATGGACCTCCGTGCAACGCAGAAACACGCGATACGGGGAAGGAGGAGCTGATAAGTTTCGGTAAAGTTAAGTTACCGTTTAATGTTTCGTGTTTGATTTATAGACGTGTGAAATCCAGTTAATAGGATTTCGTCCCTATGACCGAGGAACGACGGTTTCATCCTTTATATAATATATATATATATACGAGTGGGAGTATATTTACCTTTATGCCAATAGCCAAAGTTTTCCGTGTTATTCAACTTTTGACTTTAGTAATTTTCCGCCGACACGATTCTAAATATGGTGTGTGGATCGATAACGAGTATATCAATTAACCATGATTTGGATTTGAGAATAATTTTGAAGAGAAGGTGAATTTTTAATTTTACGAAAAGATGTTTCGGTAAGTGGATTTATCATAGAACAGTTTAATTATTAATTGAATTTCATATTTTATATTTTTCGAATGCTAAATATTCTGATTATTTCAATGATTTTATTATAATTTTTGTTAAACATACGTTAAGTGAAAATTAACATATCGATTTATGTATTAAATTAAAATATAATTATTCTTTTAGTTTTATTTGAACTTTATATCTGAAAGCAGATTATACAAGTGAGCACAATATTAGTAGAAATTTCAAACTTCGAACGGACAAAATTTCACGTGTACCTGTAATACGAAGACCTGTGTGACACAAACTGGAAAGCACGAAATTGTGTGAAAAACTTTCATAATAATCCGTAGAAAGCAAATGTATGTACACGAAATTATACGACGTCGAATGAAAATTATTTCTTGCTGCATAGAAAATATCGAAAAAAAACCAATACGCAAAGTTAAACGAATTTCCATTTGTCCAAAAAAAAAAAAAAGAAGAGAGAACAAAGATACCGAGTTCATAAATGATCGGATGAAATAATAACGGTATTACGATATTGACTTAAAAATCATAAACACACGGTTTTTAATCGAAAACCATTTTCGAAAGCAGTACAAGTAACAAGAATCACCGTTTGTGTTTGCATTTCAATTCCATCCGAGAGATTAAACGTCAAGTTTCGAGAAGAACACGAGTGAAAAGTTAACCGCGTACTCGTATAATCGTGCTCGAATAAAACGATCTCGTCCCACGGTTCGAGTCCGTATTTTCACTGGAAATATTTTTACGTTATTTCCATATTCTTTCTCCCGTTTTCTCTCTTTCTCTTTCCTTTCTTTCTTTCTTTCTTTCTTTTCTTTTTTTTTTTTTTTTTACGATTCTTTGACAGTCGAAAGAGCATAAAATCCGAGGGTATTAAACGACTTCTCGAGCATCGTGACGACAGATCAATCGAAAGAGGAGGGTGGCCGATCGGTGGTCGCGTTATGCTTCGCGTTCGTCCACCACATCCCTTCGTTTACTTCCGCTTCGACAGGAGTAAACGGTCGGTTTGTCGTAAAAAAAAGGGCGACGAGACGACGGTTCCTCGCGAGATATTAAATATTCAACAACGTTAAATCGTCCAACGTTATCCTCTTACTTCCCTATACTTGGACGTGTTTGAAGCGGCGCCACGCCTCGTTGCTCTCGAAATCCCTTTTTAGCACGCACGATTCGGGAATATTTGTCACCGTCGAAGATCAAGAAAATCCAAGGAGCGTATAAAAGGATGGAAAAATAGTAGATTTCCTTCCTTCTAGAGAAGACTGCCGAAATTTTCGTACTCTCACGCTTGTTTTAAAACGCATGCTCCCCTAAATGGTGGAACGTTCCCTCCTGACACTGTTAATTTCTCTCACAGTCCTTGGGCGTAATATTTTTCAATGAAAA